GACCAAATCACTTAAGCGTCCAAATCACTTAACGACCAAATCACTTAACGACCAAATCACTTAACGTCCAAATCACTTAACGACCAAATTACTTAACGTCCAAATCACTTAGCGACCAAATCACGTAACGTCCAAATCACTTAACGACCAAATAACTTAACGTCCAAATCACTTAACGTCCAAATTACTTAACGACCAAATCACTTAACGTCCAAATCACTTAACGTACAAATCACATAACGTCCAAATCACTTAACGCCCAAATCACTTAACGTTCAAATCACTTAACGACCAAATCACTTAGCGACCAAATCACTTAACGACCAAATCACTTAACGTCCAAATCACTTAACGTCCAAATCACTTAGCAACCAAATCACTTAACGTCCAAATCACTTAACGTCCAAATCACTTAGCAACCAAATCACTTAACGTCCAAATCACTTAGCGTCCAAATCACTTAACGTCCAAATCACTTAACGACCAAATCACTTAGCGACCAAATCACTTAACGACCAAATCACTTCACGTCCAAATCACTTCACGTCCAAATCACTTAACGTCCAAATCACTTCACGTCCAAATCACTTAACGACCAAATCACTTAACGTCCAAATCACGTAACGACCAAATCACTTAACGTCCAAATCACTTAACATCCAAATCACTTAGCGACCAAATCACTTAACATCCAAATCACTTAACGTCCAAATCACTTAACGCCCAAATCACTTAGCGACCAAATCACTTAACGTCCAAATCACTTGACGACCAAATCACTTAACGACCAAATCACTTAACGTCCAAATCACTTAACGACCAAATCACTTAACGTCCAAATCACTTAACGTCACAATCACTTAACGTCCAAATTACTTAACGTCCAAATCACTTAGCGACCAATTCACTTAACGTCCAAATCACTTAACGTCCAAATTATTTAACGTCCAAATCACTTAGCAACCAAATCACTTAACGTCCAAATCACTTAACGTCCAAATCACTTAGCGACTATATCACTTAACGGCCAAATCACTTAGCGTCCAAATCACTTAACGACCAAATCACTTAACGGCCAAATCACTTAGCGTCTAAATCACTTAACGACCAAATCACTTAACGACCAAATCACTTAACGTCCAAATCACTTAACGTCCAAATCACTTAACGTCCAAATCACTTAACGCCCAAATCACTTAACGTTCAAATCACTTAACGACCAAATCACTTAGCGACCAAATCACTTAACGACCAAATCACTTAACGTCCAAATCACTTAACGACCAAATCACTTAACGACCAAATCACTTAACGTCCAAATCACTTCACGACCAAATCACTTAGCGACCAAATCACGTAACGTCCAAATCACTTAACGTCCAAATCACTTAACGTCCAAATCACTTAACGTCCAAATCACTTAACGTCCAAATCACTTAACGCCCAAATCACTTAACGTTCAAATCACTTAACGACCAAATCACTTAGCGACCAAATCACTTAACGACCAAATCACTTAACGACCAAATCACTTAACGTCCAAATCACTTAACGACCAAATCACTTAACGACCAAATCACTTAACGACCAAATCACTTCACGACCAAATCACTTAACGACCAAATCACTTAACGTCCAAATCACTTAACGTCCGGTTTCGTGGGCGAACAGCACAAAGTCAATGCACTGTTAGGACATTTATAGCTGGGGGTGAGCAGCTACAACATGGGACTTTTTTGGCCAGTATCAAAGTATGAAAATATAAGAATAGTTCATAATAAAGGTTTTTGGGTTAGATCGCGTTTATTTATAAATGTGTCGTAACCCTCCACCACCCGACACGGCCAATCAGCAAAAAAAGGTGTCACGTTGACAAAAATACAATTAGTTCACTACTTTAGCCCACCGGTGTGTTGAAGAGTTAATCCACAACATTTACAGTTTGAGTACGACGTTTCGCTGGTAAATACCTACAGCATCATCGGGCAATTCGCCAGAATGGTAAAGCCCTCACTTGCTCCCGGTTTTATATAGAGCAGCAGGGTGATGTCATCACTTAACTCATATCATATTAACTCATATGCTGCTCTATATAAAACCGGGAGCAAGCGAGGGCTTCACCATTCTGGCGAATTGCCCGATGATGCTGGATGTATTTACCAGCGAAACGTCGTACTCAAACTGTAAATGTGGATTAACTCTTCAACACACCGGTGGGCTAAAGTAGTGAACTATTTTGTCTTTTTGTCAACGTGACACTTTTTTTGCTGATTGGCCGTGTCGGGTGGTGGAGGGTTACGACACATTTATAAATAAACGCGATCTAACCCAAAAAACTTTATTATGAATAATATTGGTCGCGAAAGCCTACGTGTTATAAGAATAGTATTTTTTTACCCTGCCCTGATAGGTTCAGCATTGCAGGCGAGAGGGCTACTTAGGCCACTCCCGGTCATCGCAGCACCTGACGTGGCGTTGGTGGTTCGTGCCCTGCGTTCGCCATTGCCTGTTCAACGAGTGGAGCGTTCGCCACATTTCTGTGACACTGTGGGCCATTTGACGTCTGCAGTACCGCCGAGTGCAAAGGCCAGGGGTCCTGAGGCTGCACGCTGCTTCTGAGTTTAGCTATGGGGGTTTGAGGCTGTAAGCTGCTCTGGCATGAGGCCGGAACAGTTATGAGAGTCAAGTCCAGACGTGGGCAAAGTACATTGGCCCCCGGGCCGAACTTGTGCAAATATTTTTATTATTATTATTAAATTACATTTTACCTTTCTCCTGTAATGCCCCCATTTCCCCATTGGACGGCGCACTTTGACCGGGAGTGTGGTGTATAGGGCTCGAATAAAGAAGCTCAAGTGAGCTAATTGGTTTGGGCGCTGGCCTCAGGTGTTTGCATGATGTTTGATCGGCCACGTCACGACATGTTTTTTGTGTCGTTCACGTTCGTGCAATTTGTTAAATTGCCTTGCGTATAAACGCTTTGCTACCTGTTAAAGGCCAAATCCTTTCATGTAATGATTTTTAACACGTCATTTATATTACGTTCACACAAAACACTCCATGCATCTGTCCCTGGCCCGGCCCCTCTGTCAAATTTTAGAACCCATTGTGGCCCGCGAGTCAAAAATTTTTTCCCACCCTCTGGTCAAGCCTCTTCTTGCTTGCTTTCGGGATTGATGTGAGCAGGCCGATCATTTTGGCGTTGTGTTTGTTTGAGTTGCGTTAAATGGCCGCCCCCCCCCCCCCCCCCCCAAAAAAAAACGTCCGTCGTATGAGTCGGTGGTTCTTCATCTTCCGACAGAGCGTGCCGAGGAGCGGCCCGCACGCCGAGAGCTCGGCTGGAGCTGGACGGCTTTCACGAGTGGGTTTCGGAAAAGAGACCCTGACGGATCGTGACCCAGAACCTCACAGGAACCCTCCACAATGTACCATTCACCCGATCCAGATTTACCTATGGTGTTCCGAGGTTTTTTGTTCTATCCGGGCGATTAAAAAGCGCATTAGCTTCCCCGTCACCAGCCCCTCCATACGTAGAAAAGCGACCCCTTTGGGGGCACATCCAATGCTGATTACTTGGGGGAGGGAAGAAATACGTGGCCCCGGCCGGCAAGAAGCAGCCACAGAGAAAGTCGGAGACATCCTTGACCAAGGATGGCAGAGGTGCTGCCGTTTGATCGGTTACAGAGCAACATTGAAAATCCTTACACGTCCCCATTTCTGCAGATACAGACAACGATAATTTACATTGATTTGTAAGGCGCCTTCACGAATGTCTCAAGGCCCCTTGAAAGAATAATTATAAGGAAAGTCCAAGAGAGAGAGAGAGACGGAGAAGCTAAACAGAAGATGTTGTTTTGAGACGAGAATTTAAAATGTCCACACTGTCGCATGAACGAATTTCCAGCGGTCCAGAATTCCACCACCGTGTCGCAGACGCAGCGACTGGCCGCTCACCACTTAGGAACGCAGATCAGGGGACGTCACAACAAAAGCACCCGACAAAAAAACCTGGATGGACTCCCCTCCCCCCCACGTAATAGACTGGTTGGAAGAGCTACGGCTTAAATAAAGGTGAGCGGAGGGTTACCGCATGCTGGCGCGGGAAATGCGTCGGGGAAAATATCAGCAAACCAGGAAGCTCTTGTGACTTTTTTGCTCGTAGTGTAGCAATAAAACAGGAGGCGTTTTAAGATATTCAAACACCAAAATAGCATTGCATTAATCATAAACTCTACTTGTGGTGAACATGCAAACAAAACGTGCTATTCTAGATTTGAAGCGTTCGTGACTGCAAGAATCCATACCCTTTGTTTCTATTCGGTAAAGCCACGTAGGTAAAAAAAATAAAACAACAAAAATCACGACGTTTCGGCCACAACACAAGCGACCTTCATCAGGTGAAGGGACCGTACTGTCACGAGGACAGCATTGGAGTGAAGACAGTCAGGCCCAGGTCGCGTCCTTTAAGATGCCGCAACCACAAGCTTAAAGGACGCGACCTGGGCTTGGCTGTCTTCACGGTATCTATTTTCTTATTTAAAACATCAGGCAACTCCGGAGCCGAAACCTTCCCAACTAAGAGATTACACCGCAGAAACGGTCCCCCCCCCCCCATTCTGGCAAGCTCTGAGGGTCTTGGGGCCTAAAGTCAACACTGCTCAGACTCATGCAGAGTTTAAATCCACGCCGCATGGGGATTGGACCGTCATCTACTCCCGGGCACGAAAAACAAACTATCGACAGACAGGAGCTTTGGCTCATGCCCGGACGTCGAAAAAGTCATGATGAAAGATGCCGGGCTCCTTTAGTGGCCCCACGGTAATGGAGAAGTGGGGAGAGCCTTCGAGAGAGGAACGGTAGGAGGTTAAGGAGAGAGACTGCTTAACGCACAGCATCCCAGAAACGGAATATTTCGTCCACTGCCGTGAAATGCAATGGGCAACGCTTCCTGCTGCCCAAGGGATCTGAACGCGCCGATAAAACAAACACCGGTCGACATGACCAATCCGAGCCACTTTATTGCAGAGTGCTGATTCCGAAGGACTCCCCAAGGCCGTGGGCCTGGGAAACCGCGATTACACGACAACACCAATCACTGTGAAGAGTACGATTAAGGTAAAATCATCGATCATCATCATGATCGTCGTCGTCATCATTGTCGTCGATCACCGCCCAACGACACCAGCCCACTGATCACGGTGTTTAACGGAGAGCGTCGTGGGAGGTGATTTGGCACCCCGACGGTATCACCGATCGGAGATCTACGAAAGAGAGTTAGGTGTGGCGTTGGCACCGAAGGGGGGTGTGGTGGAGCGTGTCTTTGCCCATGTTTACGTGGTCATTGTTGGATCCGTGAATCGAGGTTTCACTTGTATCGATTCAGCCCAAAGTTGATCGGGCAGCCATTGTGAATGTGTCGATTTATTTATTTAAAGGGGCACCACGATGGCTAGAAAATGTTAACTACCTCGTCTGGTATGCAGGAGGTCGAGGGTTCGGTCCCGGGACCCCTGACTCCAGCTGTATATTTGGGAATTTGCGTGTCTCTCTCTCTCTCTCTCCCCATGGTCACGTGGATCTCTTTTCCTCCGGGTCCTCGTGTTTTTCCCTCCACATTTAGAAACACGCATTGAGATTTTTTTAGATTATTTTTGCCGACAATAAATGCCCAAATGGTAAGCCCACATCTGAAAAAATAAGTTCATACATCATTGGCCGTTGCCTGGTAGGATGGGGGGATGGCTTAGTTGTATTTGTATGTGTTTGGGTGATTTGTTTAACCTTCTTGTACTTTGCACGACCACCGTGTTTGTGTGTTGTACTGGCAATGCGTGACAAAAGAGCTTTACTCCTCCTGCAGTCTAAATACAATGTTCTGATTCTACACTCGCAATTGATTGAATGGCGAGCGACGACTCGGCATCGCGACTCACTCGGGTTCGAGTGAGTCGCGCGACACCACGCACCCTCCGCTTCCGTGTGCTTGCCGGCTTCCACCGTCCGGCAAGATCGGTGAAATCCGTCGCAACTCCACTTTCTAACTGGGTTGGGTGTAATGTGGGGGGTGTGGACGACCGCGAGGCCGACGCCGCCGACGACGACTCGGCCTCAGGGCCACGTGCACACGTGAATGTCGGCGCTGTACACCAGGCCGTCAGGGCACGCCTGCTCGCGCGTCGCCCCATCGGCGCAGTGGTAGAAGCGGCGGGGTTCGCTCGCGTGCGGGTAGAGGCCGTCGGCCCTGCCCTGGCAGGTCAAGGCCACGGCCACCGCGGCGGCGGCGGCCGCGTCCGCGTCCGCGTCCGCGTCGGTGGGTACCGAATCCTCGCTGGATCCGGGGCTTTCCTGCTTGCTGCTGTCGCCGCCGCCGGCTGTGGAGGCGGCACCGCTCTCCCTCGAGAAGGAGGTTTCTCGCAGCTTCGGTAGGGTGCACTGGCCAATGGTGCCTGGCAGGTCGTGGGGGCGGAGAGAGGGGGTAAGGGTGGGGTGGGGGTGGGTGGCGAGGGTTCGGTTGGAGCCTGGTTTCTGTTTTTCGTTTCACTACTTTTCCGTGCATTGGTGCATTGGGAATCCTAGAATGCATTGGCAGCATTGAACATTTGCATTATTTTTTTTTGTATTTGCTCACCGGTGGGAGTTGTGAGGATTATCTTGACGAGCTTGAGGAGTGGGTAGGCGTCGCCTTTGCACTCTTTGCCCGTGAAGTCGTCCATGTCCAGAGACCACATCATGGCACCTCCCAGACCCTTCGACTTGAGCCAGCACACCTGGGAGGGACGGGTAGGGAGTCAGAGCCACTCTCCCCTCTCTCACCACCACCACTGGCACCGCGTGTAGTAGCAGCACAACCACCGCCACGTGCAGCAGCAGCAGCAGCATAGCCGCAACCATCGCTACCACGTGTAGCAGCAGCATAGCCACCACCACGACATGTAACAGCGTAGCCACGACCACCGCCACCACCAATACCAATACCCCCGCCATTCGTCACTAAGTGACGGTGACGTCACCACGGCGCCTGTGCCAGGCCACGTGCACCTTGAGGCCACGTGGAGTGTCGAAGGACTCGCTGCTGACGAAAGGTCTCGGGACAGACCCAGCAGGTGCCATGGGTTGGCTGACTGAGATGACCGGTAGATGCACCACCGCCTACTGTGCCAACTTGCTGTACTTTAGCCACCCAGTGCTCAGCTCGTTGTTGTGAGCGTCGCTCCTCTGCCCTCCGTTGCTATTGGAGGGCGACTTCCTCCAACTGCCCAGTAGCAGCGTTCTTCACGATCATCCCCCATACAGCGCAGTCTTGACACCGCTGGTACCAGTCATCGGTAAGTCCACTCAGCTCCACATCCTCCCGTACCGATCAGTCCGTCCCTTCTCTAGCTCGTTCCGTGCCCATTTAGCCCCCCTCTATGCGGTCAATCAGAAGCTACTTGGGCATGTTGTGGTTGGGAATGCTGGCTACATGGCCCGGCCAATGCAGCCTTGCCTGCCAGAGGAGTGTGAGCCCCTCACGCAGTCCAGCCTGGTCAAACCCAGGATGGATCGTAGGCAGGCCAACGTGAATGTTTCTAACTGGCGCAGATCTTCCATTAGAGGGATCCACGTATCGCAAGCATAGAGGGAGGGGGGGGGCATGACTGTGGTCAAGAAGACCCGAAGCGACAGACCAGGTAGCTTCCACACAGCATTGCCCAGCCGATGAAACGATAATACCGCCCGACAGAATTGGAGTGAGACCTCTGCTGTCAAAAGAGAGATGGTCATAAGCACACTGCCCAGGTATGGGAATCTCTCCACTCTCTATACAACTGATCCATCAACAATGAAGTGCTGAGGGGTTGGAGTGTTTGTGGGCACAAAATACCCAGGCAGGTCCTTATTTTTGGTGGGCTGATGGTAAGACCCCACCTCTTAGTGGCACACTGCAGGTCCTGCAGCAGTGCCTCCAATTCCTCCTCTGAGTGAGCAGCAATCACCAGATCATCAACATACATAACATCGTTGACCAATAGGGAGCTATCCCTCGAAAGCACTCGGGCATCGATCAGCCTCCCATTGTATCTGTACCAGATGGAAATTATCCCAGTACAGCCATGGAAAGCTTCTCGAACTACGTAGCCAAGGATGATGTTAAATAATGTGGGAGCCAGAGGACATTTTTGTCGCAACCCACGGTTAACAGGGAATGGCTCTGACTCCTGCCTAAGGTAGCTCTACCCGGGCCTGCTCACCATCATGAAGGCCCTTAATGATTGTGAGCTGAGAGTCAGGGGCTCTGAAAGCACCAAGAACTGCCCACAGCCCTGGCCTGTTGATGGTATAATAGGCCTTGACCAGGTCAATAACGTGTCGATGTAGGCCTTGTTGTAATTCTCTACACTTCTGCAGACGGACAGAGAATATGGCATCCGTGCAGGGCCGCCGTGATCTGAAACCACATTGGGGCTCCGCAAGCCTCTCCTTAGCGTGCCTGGCAAGGCGATGTTGAATAATCCTTGCCAGGACCTTTCCCGGCACACTGAGGAGTGAGATGCCCCTGTAGTTGTTACAGTCTGTGCGGTCCCCCTTCTTAAAGAGGGGGACCACCAGGGCATCCTTCTAATCCTGCAAAACCCGTCCTGTGGTCCAGACAATTGTGATGATGTCCTGTAGGGCAGTCTGCACACAGATGCCACCCTCCCTCAGAATTTCGCTTGGGAGATCGTCTCTGCCCGGCGCTTTTCCTGGTCTCAGACTCCGGATCGCCCCTCACACTTCCTCCACAGATGGCACCTCAGCCAACCACTCAGATGGGGTGGGCCACTTCTACCAATATTTGAGGCACGGCAGACCTAGCAGGGTCGTCCCCCACATTGCCCCATGCGATGTCGTCTGGGCTGAGGGAATTCCCCTCCCCCCCCAAGACCTCACAAAAATGTTCTGCAAACCTGTAGACCTGTTCCTGGTGGTCGGAGATCAGATTACCTTTCTTTCCCTTAACGACGGTGATAGGCGAGTTACGTTTTTAAAAATATAATTAAAGAGTGATTTGTGATTGTGGGCTACTGAGGCAGATTCCACCTCCTCAACAACCCGGCACGCAACACTCATCCTTGCTGTGCCACACGGCTCTTCGAATCTCCAAGCTGAAGGCTGCGGCCAAGCCTCCTCATTCTCCAGCGTTGGATGTTGCAGACGACGGGAGTGGGCCTGCCGTTTTCTCCCAACCAGCCAGAACACCTCCTCCTCCAGCCAGGATCTTTAGGGAGGTCTGAACCGCGCACCCAATGTTTAAGCCACAGTCCTGAACCTCAGCCACTTCCCCTCGGCGTCACAAGGAGTGGGGGACGATGCCAACCACCAGGCGCAAGCGATGTTGACATTTCTGCTTGCAACGATCCTGAGCTAGCTGAGACCAAGGCCACCACCGCCATCACCGCGACCACCACCGCCGCCACCGCCGCCACCACCGCCACCGACACAACCACCACCACCTCCGCCACCACACCCACCACCAACGCCACCACACCCACCACCACCGCCATCACCGCGACCACCGCCGCCACCAAGGCCACCACCGCCATCACCGCGACCACCACCAACGCCGCCGCCGCCGCCGACACAACCACCACCAACGCCACCACCTTCGCCACCACCACCACCGCCACCGACACAACCACCACCACCACCGCCACCACCACCACCACCGCCGCCACAACCACGACCACCACCACTGCGCGCACCTTCTGCCTGAAGCTGGGGATGTCGTCATAGCCGACCCACTGGCCTCTGCGGTTGGTGTAGCCGTAGGCGTAGGGGACCTTCTGGTCGCTGAGCCACACGCGATTGAAGCCACGGCGGAGCAGAGGGCACACCTGGCACGGCACGCGGATGGAAGATTTTGATTTGAAGCTTTCGTGACTGCGGCAATTCATACTCTTGGCTCTTTCGGTAAAGTCACCGAAAGAGCCAAGAACACGATGGAAGATGTTCAACCCAATTCCAACCCCGCCACCGCGCATTGTAGCCTGAACAGCGATGTAACCCCCCTACCTGTGGATGTGCATTGGAGTTATTGCAGAACCCCTCTTAGCGAGCACCCCTGTTAACGACCAAACGCTTGACAAAGGGCCTCCATAGATCCCGATGTGTAGTGTATAGTGGTGTAAATTAGTGTAGTGTATAGTAGTGTATCGTATTGTAGTTTATACTAGTGTATCGTAGTGTAGTGTATAGTAGTGTATAGTAGTGTATAGTAGCGTAGTGTATAGTAGTGTATAGTGGTGTAGTGTGTAGTAGCGTAGTGTATAGTGGTGTAAATTAGTGTAGTGTATAGTAGTGTATCGTATTGTAGTTTATACTAGTGTATCGTAGTGTAGTGTATAGTAGTGTATAGTAGTGTATAGTAGCGTAGTATATAGTAGTGTAGTGTATAGTAGCGTAGTGTATAGTAGTGTGTAGTAGCGTAGTGTATAGTGGTGTCAATTAGTGTAGTGTATAGTAGTGTATCGTACTGTAGTTTATACTAGTGTATCGTAGTGTAGTGTATAGTAGTGTATAGTAGCATAGTGTATAGTAGTGTATAGTAGTGTATAGTGGTGTAGTGTATAGTAGTGTGTAGTAGCGTAGTGTATAGTGGTGTAAATTAGTGTAGTGTATAGTAGTGTATCGTATTGTAGTTTATACTAGTGTATCGTAGTGTAGTGTATAGTAGTGTATAGTGGTGTAGTGTATAGTAGTGTGTAGTAGCGTAGTGTATAGTGGTGTAAATTAGTGTAGTGTATAGTAGTGTATCGTATTGTAGTTTATACTAGTGTATAGTAGGGTAGTGTATAGTAGTGTATAGTAGTGTATAGTAGCGTAGTGTATAGTAGTGTAGTGTATAGTGGTGTAGTGTATAGTAGTGTGTAGTAGCGTAGTGTATAGTGGTGTAAATTAGTGTAGTGTATAGTAGTGTATCGTATTGTAGTTTATACTAGTGTATCGTAGTGTAGTGTATAGTAGTGTATAGTAGTGTATAGTAGCGTAGTGTATAGTAGTGTAGTGTATAGTGGTGTAGTGTATAGTAGTGTGTAGTAGCGTAGTGTATAGTGGTGTAAATTAGTGTAGTGTATAGTAGTGTATCGTATTGTAGTTTATACTAGTGTATCGTAGTGTAGTGTATAGTAGTGTATAGTAGTGTGTAGTAGCGTAGTGTATAGTGGTGTAAATTAGTGTAGTGTATAGTAGTGTATCGTATTGTAGTTTATACTAGTGTATCGTAGTTACATAGTTCATTTATTTGGTATAGCTCTGTGAGCCATTCGGCTCTTGAATCGGGTGCATCCGCAACAAACAAAAACATGAACAAGAAAAACATCTTAAAGTGACTTTGTGTGTTGACTGTGCAAACAGAAAATCCAGGCAAAAAACATCAAAATATTCCTGAAATAGCACCGTTACACCAATGCTGGGTGCAAAAATCTTAGTGGGATGCAAGCCAAACAACAACCACGATTAAGGCCATCAGTCTAACTCCGTACTACAATAAACAAAAACATGGCCAAAACAAAAAAAAAGTTTTCCGAAATCACCAAAATTAAAGCCATAAATGCAATGTAACAGTGATCGTAGGGACTGTGACCGAATTTTTAACAATAAACTACGTAAATAACATGTAACACCAAAATCTAGAGCCATTTTTTAGGCCACTGAATAGCAGTGGCAGCTAGGGGTGTACAACTCCTCTAGAACAGTTTGAGTGAAGTAGTGTATCGTAGTGTATAGTGGTTTAGTGTATAGTGGTGTAGTGTATAGTAGCGTAGTGTATAGTAGTGTAGTGTATAGTGTAGTGTATAGTAGCGTAGTGTATAGTGGTGTAGTGTATAGTAGCGTAGTGTATAGTAGTGTAGTGTATAGTGTAGTGTATAGTAGCGTAGTGTATAGTGGTGTAGTGTATAGTAGCGTAGTGTATAGTAGTGTATAGTAGCGTAGTGTATAGTGGTGTAGTGTATAGTAGCGTAGTGTATAGTGTAGTGTATAGTAGTGTAGTGTATTGTAATGTAGTGTATAGTAGTGTAGTGTATAGTAATGTAGTGTACAGTGGTGTATAGTAGTGTATAGTAGTGTAGTGTATAGTAGTGTATAGTGGTGTATAGTAGTGTAATGTATAGTAGTGTAATATGGTAGTGTAATGTATAATGTGTATGTGTGGGTGAGTGGGTATGTGAGTATGTGGGTGAGTGGCTGTGAGTGTGTGTGAGTGAGTGGGTGTGTGAGTGTGAGTGGGTGATTGTATGGGTGAGCAAAGTGAGTGGTTGAGTGGGTGAGTGTGTGAGTGAGTGTATATGAGTGAGTGGGTGTGTGAGTGAGTGTGAGTGGGTGAGTGAGTGGGTGGGTGTGTGTGGGTGAGTGGGTACGCAGGTGAGTGGGTGAGTGGGTAAGTGCATTTGTAGGTGAGTGGGTAAGTGTATGTGTGGGTGGGTGGATGAGTGTATGTGAGTGGGTGTGAGTGAGTGTATGTGTGGGTGTGTGAATGAGTGGGTGTATGTGTGGGTGGGTGAGTGATGGTAAGTGAGTGGGTGAGTGTATGAGTGAGTGTATTATTGATGCTCTGTAAATGGGTGTTTGAGTGAGTGGGTGAATGTGCGATTGGTTGAGTGGGTGAGCGAGGGAGTGGGTATGTGAATAGGTGTGTGAGTGAGTGGTTGTGTGACTAGGTGTGTGGGTGTGTGATTGAGTGAGTGTGTGGGTGAGTGGGTGTGAGTAGATGTGTGATTGAGAAGTTGAGTGTATGTGTTGGTGAGTGGCTGAGCGTATGAGTGAGTGTATGTGAATTGGTGTGTGAGTGGGGGGGTGTGTTAGAGAGTGGGTGAGTGAGTGAGTGGGTGAGTGAGTGGGTGAGTGCGCGTGGGTGTGAGTGTGTGAGTGTGTGAGTAAGTGGGTGAGTGTATGTGAGTGGGTGTGTGTGTGGTTGAATGTCTGAGTGTGTGAGTGAGTGTATGGGTAGGTGGGTGAGTGTGTGAGTGAGTGAGTGTATGGGTAGGTGGGTGAGTGTGTGAGTGAGTAAGTGTGTGAGTGAGTGAGGGTGTGAGTGGGTGAGTGGGTGATTGAGTGTGTGAGTGAGTGGGTGATTGAGTGTGTGAGTGAGTGGGTGAGTGTGTGAGTAAGTGTGTGAGTGAGGGTGTGAGTGGGTGAGTGGGTAAGTGTGAGTGATTGAGTGTGTGAGTGAGTGTATGGGTGGGTGAGTGAGTGTGTGAGTGAGTGTGTGAGTGGTTGATTGAGTGTGTGAGTGAGTGGGTGAGTGTATGTGAGTGGGTGTGTGAGTGGTTGAGTGTCTGAGTGAGTGAGTGTATGGGTGGGTGGGTGAGTGTGTGAGTGAGTAAGTGTGTGAGTGACTGAGTGTGTGAGTGAGTGGGTGAGTGAATTAGTGTGTGAGTGCGTGAGTGAGTGAGTGTATGGGTGGGTGGGTGAGTGTGTAAGTGAGTGTCTGAGTGTGTGAGTGAGTGTATGGGTGGGTGGGTGAGTGTGTGAGTAAGTGTGTGAGTGAGGGTGTGAGTGGGTGAGTGGGTAAGTGTGAGTGATTGAGTGTGTGAGTGAGTGTATGGGTGGGTGAGTGAGTGTGTGAGTGAGTGTGTGAGTGGTTGATTGAGTGTGTGAGTGAGTGGGTGAGTGTATGTGAGTGGGTGTGTGAGTGGTTGAGTGTCTGAGTGAGTGAGTGTATGGGTGGGTGGGTGAGTGTGTGAGTGAGTAAGTGTGTGAGTGACTGAGTGTGTGAGTGAGTGGGTGAGTGAATTAGTGTGTGAGTGCGTGAGTGAGTGAGTGTATGGGTGGGTGGGTGAGTGTGTAAGTGAGTGTCTGAGTGTGTGAGTGAGTGTATGGGTGGGTGGGTGAGTGTGTGAGTATTTGAGTGTATCTGAATGGGTGTGTGTGTGGTTGAGTGTTTGAGTGTGTGTGTGAGTGAGTGTATGGGTGGGTGAGTGAGTGTGTGAGTGAGTTAGTGTGTGAGTGTTTGTGAGTGGGTGTGTGAGTGGTTGAGTGTCTGAGTGTGAGTGAGTGTGTGAGTGTGTGAGTGAGTGTCTGAGTGTGTGAGTGAGTGTGTAAGTGAGTGTGTGAGTGAGTGAGTGTATGTGAGTGAGTGTGTGAGTGAGTGAGTGTATGGGTGGGTGAGTGTGTGAGTGGTTGAGTGTCTGAGTGTGAGTGAGTGTGTGAGTGTGTGAGTGAGTGTATGGGTGGGTGTGTGAGTGGTTGAGTGTGTGAGTGAGTGTATGTGAGTGAGTGTCTGAGTGGTTGAATGTCTGAGTGTGAGTGAGTGTGAGTGAGTGTATGGGTGAGTGAGTGAGTGTGTGAGTGAGTGTGTGAGTGAGTGTGTGACTGAGTGTCTGAGTGTGAGTGAGTGTGTGCCTGAGCAATCGAGCGTCAGCGTAGCGGTTAGCCCTACGCTGCGCCAAAAACCCGGCGACCCGGCTTCGATTCCCCGCTCAATGCCAACACCCATTGACGATCATCCGAACCGGTCCTGGGCCTCGCTTGGGTCGACTCGGCCTCAAATCAGTACCTGGCGCGGCGCGCAAACACCGCCGACGTGGAAACAAAGCCGCAGTCTGTTGCAGGCGACACGGTGGTGGTGCTGGTGGTGCTGGTGGTGCTGGTGGTGGTGGTGCTGGTGGTGTTGGATCTTTCTGCGTGTGAGTCTATTGGCCTCCCACCTCGTAGTAGGCCAGCATGCCCGGCTGCTTCGTATAGGGTCCCGGCAGGCCGGCTCCGCTGACGGGCGCTCCGACAATGGTGGACGCACCGCTGAGGGTGAAGGAGCGTCCGTACGTGGGCAACCCCACCACCAGCTTCTGCGGAGGGACTCCGCCTCGCAGCCAAGTCTGCACCGACGATTCCTGAAGGGGGGAGGAGAGGGCCAAAGCAGCGGTCAAGGACGGGGGGGGGGTTGGAGGTCGCGGGGACCTGGTGGGGGTTGCGGGGTCAGGATGCGCGCTTCGCGTGCAACAACACTACTATACACTATACACTACACTATACACTACTATACACTATACACTACACTATACACTACACTACTATACACTACACTATACACTACACTACTATACACTATACACTACACTACACTATACACTACACTACTATACACTACTGTACACTATACACAACACTACTATACACTATACACTACTATACACTACACTATACACTACACTATACACTACTATACACTACACTATACACTACTATACACTACACTACACTATACACTACACTATACAATACACTACTATACACTATACACTACACTACACTATACACTACACTACTATACACTACTATACACTACTATACACTACACTATACACTACTATACACTACACTATACACTACACTATACACAACACTACTATACACTATACACTACACTATACACTACACTACTATACACTATACACTACTATACACTATACACTACTATACACTACACTATACACTACTATACACTACACTATACACAACACTATACACTACACTACTATACACTACTATACACTACACTATACACTACTATACACTACACTATACACTACACTACTATACACTATACACTACTATACACTACACTATACACTACTATACACTACACTATACACTACACTATACAATACACTACTATACACTGTACACGACACTATCCACTACACTGCCATACACTACTATACAGTACGCTACTATACACTACACTATACACTTCACTATTCACTACTATACACTACACTACTATACACTACACTATACACTACACTATACACTACTATACACTACACTATACACTACACGATACACTATACTATCCACTACACTGCTATACACTACTATACAGTACGCTACCATACACTACACTATACACTACACTATACACTACACTGCTATACACTACTATACAGTACGCTACCATACACTACACTATACACTTCACTATCCACTACACTACTATACACTACACGATACACTACACTATACACTACACTAAACACTACACTATACACTTCACTATACACTACACTATACACTACACTATACACTACGCTGCCATACACTACTATACAGTACGCTTCTATACACTACACTATACACTTCACTATCCACTACACTACTATACACTACACGATACACTACACTATACACTACACTAAACACTACACTATACACTTCACTATACACTACACTATACACTACACTATACACTACACTGCTATACACTACTATACAGTACGCTACTATACACTACACGATACACTACACTATACACTACACTATACACTACACTACTATACACTACACGATACACTACACTATACACTACACTAAACACTACACTATACACTTCACTATACACTACACGATACACTACACTATCCACTACACTGCTATACACTACTATACAGTACGCTACCATACACTACACTATACACTACACTATACACTACACTGCTATACACTACTATACAGTACGCTACCATACACTACACGATACACTACACTATACACTACACTATACACTACACTACCATACACTACACGATACACTACACTATACAGTACGCTACCATACACTACACGATACACTACAACATTCCCCACTAGTGCTGCACTGGTAACGAATTGGCCACGCGCTTTTGTTCACGTGACAAAGCCTTCAACTGGTTGGGCCGTGCCAGGCGGCGGCGGTGTCGGCGAGGCTTTTCACCCTTTTATCTGACAACAAAACTGATACCTTTTTTTTTTACAAAGGATCGTGCCTTTGCATTAACCACAACACTTGCGCTCGAAATTCAATCCAAAAAGACAACACTGATAATGTATTGAGAGCTCGGGGTGAGCTTTCGCATTACGAGACCTCCTTTTGCCAGCAGCGAGGTATGTAATAACATGATCAGTGTTTGCCTTGTTGTTCGCACTTTTGACGGCAAGTGTTGTGGTGGTCAATGCAAATGCACGATCCCTTGTTCAAAGGCGTCAGTTTCGTCTGACAGATGAAAGGGTAAAAGCCTGTTAGTATATCTTGCTACCGACAACGGAGGTCTCGTGATGACGCAACCTCCACACGCTCACGCGATCCAAACCAACCTTCTCCCTTGTGGACTTCGCGACCCACCGAACAGACACAACAACAGCAACAACAACAACAGCAACACCGCCACAGCGTTGCGACGTGTTGGTAGCGGTTAAACAAACTGCTTACGAAAGAGTACGCATACAGCACAGACACACGGATACGCCCCGTGTATTTTTTTTTCTCAGCTAGGTCACATTAGTTCAATTTTCAGTTTAATTTATTTTGGTATAGCCCCGTGAGCCATTCGGCTCTTGAATCGGGTGCAACCACAACAAATAAACAAAAAAAACAGAAACACGAACAAGAAAAATCATATTCTTAGTTTTTTCGGTAAAGTCACGTTGAAGAGAAACAATAAAATAATAATATATATAAAACAATAAAAAATTCTCACGACGTTTCGACCATAACTCAAACGGTCGTCTTCGTTTGAGTTATGGTCGAAACGTCGTGAGAATTTTTTATTTTTTATATATATATTTTATTATTTTGTTGTTTCTCTTCAACGTGACTTTACCGAAAAAACTAAGAATATGAATTACTGCAGTCACGAAAGCTTTAAATCAAAATCTTAAAGTGACTTTGTGTTGACTGCGCAAAACAGAAAATCCATGGGGGAAAAAAATAAACCAGCAGAAATATTCCCGAAGAAAGTACAAACCGTGTACACCAACGCTGTGTGCAAAAAATCCCAGTGGGATGCTAGTCAAACAACAACAACAACCACAACAACCACAAGACAACTTAGGATTAAGGCCATCAGTCTAACGAATTTTTACAATAAACTACGTAAATAAAATCCCAGTGGGATACAAGTCAAACAACAACAACCACCACAACAACCACAAGAAAACTTAGGATGAAGGCCATCAGTCTAACTCCATACCGCAACAAAACTAAACCATGTCCAAACCAAAAAAATCGTTTTCCGAATCACCAAAAAATAAAGCCATAATTGCAACGTAACAGTTGATCACTGGGACTGTGACCGAATTTTTACAATAAACTACATAAATAAAATCCCAGTGGGATACAAGTCAAATAACCACAACCACAACAACCACAACAACCACAAGACAACTTAGGATTAAGGCCATCAGTCTAACGAATTTTTACAATAAACTACGTAAATAAAATCCCAGTGGGATGCTAGTCAAACAACAACAACCACAACAACCACAAGACAACTTAGGATGAAGGCCATCAGTCTAACTCCGTACCGCAACACAACTAAACCATGTCCAAACAATAAAAAAACGTTTTCCAAATCACCAAAAAATAAAGCCACAATTGCAACGTAACAGTTTGATCACAGGGACTGTGACCGAATTTTTACAATAAACTACGTTAATAAAATCCCAGTGGGATGAAAGTCAAACAACAACAACAACAACCACAAGACAACTTAGGATTAAGGCCATCAGTCTAACGAATTTTGACAATAAACTACGTAAATAAAATCCCAGTGGGATACAAGTCAAACAACAACAACAACCACCACAAGACAACTTAGGATTAAGGCCATCAGCCTAACAAATTTTTACAATAAACTACGTTAATAAAATCCCAGTGGGATACAAGTCAAACAACAACAACCACAACAACCACAACAACCACAAGACAACTTAGGATTAAGGCCATCAGTCTGGAGGCGGCCCAGGAGCGGTAAAAAATAAATAAAAATAATCATCACCGGTGGCGGCCGCGAGCGGGAATCGAACTCGGGCCGCCGGGTTCGTAGCGCGGCGTGGCGCTGAACCGATACCGCTACGGTACGTTACGCTGTCACGTGCTAGGGTCACGTGACAGACCTGACGTCACAGCTCACTTGACGTGCAAAAAATGAATTCATTATTGAGCTCCTCCCCCCACTCCCTCCCCCACTTCCCACCAAATTAAAAAAAAACTAAAGTCTATTTTTATCATTTGTGCATGGTGTACAGTCTGGAAAGTACCCACATGGTACATTTCAAGTTTTGTTGCATGTCGGGAAGTACGCTGAACATTTTGAACGGACACACACACACACACACGATCACAACTTTGCCTTCTTTGTAACGTATGCGAAAATGATGAATGCGGCGACATGATTCCTGGCAAGAGCTTTTTCCGTTTGGTGTTTGAGCGTCATTGAGGCGCACGGAGATGCAATCGAAACGTCGCGAGAATTTTATCGTAATAGTTTTTCACTATTTTTTTCCTCATTGTTTCCCTTCTCCGTGACTTTACCGAAAGAACCAAGAATGCGAATCCCCTGCAGTGCACCAAGTCCTTTCCGAGGCTTGTGCACTCCCGGCGTGTCTGTGCATTTTTGTAAAACAAAAAGCACGAAAAACCGAAGGGAAAAAAACCCCCAACACACAACAACGAAAAAAAGCCACCAAAAAAACACTGAAAAAACCGAAAAAACACCCCCCCCAAAACCACTGAAGACACAAAACACACGACGAAAAAACCCCCAAAAAACACTAAGAACCCAGCAAAAAACACCCCCCCCAAAACCACTCAAGACACAAAACACACAACGAAAAAAACCCCCCAAAAACACTAAAAACCCAACAAAAAACACCCCCCCCCCAAAACCACTCAAGACACAAAACACACAACGAAAAAAAACCCAAAAAACACTAAAAACCCAGCAAAAAACACCCCCCCAAACCACTCAAGACACAAAACACACAACGAAAAAACCCCCCAAAAAACACTAAAAACCCAGCAAAAAACACTGAAAAAACGAAAAACCCAGCAAAAAAACCACTAAAAACCGAAAAACCCAGCAAAAAAAACACTAAAAACCGACAACACCCCCCCAAAATCACTAAAAACACAAAAAACACAACGAAAAAACCACCAAAAAACACTGAAAAACCGAAAAAAAAACCCGAAAACCACTCAAGACACAAAACACACAACGAAAAAAACCCCCAAAACCACTAAAAACCGACAACACCCCCCCAAAATCACTTAAAACAAAAAAAAACACAACGAAAAAACCACCAAAAAACACTGAAAAACAGAAAACACCCCCCCCCCCCAAAAAAAACACTCAAAACCGAAAAAAACCAATCTAACAACGACTAAAAACCGACAATAAAAACGCGTGCTATCTACCAGGAGCACCCACGGTACAAATTGCAATGGGTTGCAATGTAAAAAAAAATAAAAAGAGCTTTCTAGCTTTTCGGATTCCTAATTCGCTCAGCGGGGCCGCAAGCCGGTGTAAAAGGGAAATGGTTATTTAGATTCTTAGCTCTTTCGGTAAAGTCGCCACGTTGAAGGGAAACAATAAAATAATATAAAATATATATCAAACAATAACAAAAATTCTCACGACGTTCCGACCATAACACAAACGGTCGTCATCAGGTGCGTCGGTTTGCATAAATGTATTTATTTTTAAAGGTGTATTTATTTATTTATAAAAAACGTCAGCGCCACGCGCAGCGATTTTGCAGTTTATTTAGAAGGACTAGTCCATCTACGTTCTGAAAAGAGGAGGGGGAGAGACGAAAAATTTTAATGTACGCTGTCTGAAAGCCACCGTAAGCGTGAACAATCAATTAAGACCCGAAATGGTTGATAAAATCCTTCCAATGATTGCTAAGCCAGAATCCATCTTCTCGGTTGAAATTGTCTCCGTGCTCGTATATGTGGATAGCCTCATGAACGAATCTCTCATGGTAGCCAGATGGCTTACAAAGAACCTCTGTCTTGGAGAAGTCAATGGCATGTGAGCCTACTGAATTAGAACAATGATCTGACACGGCCGAGGTGTTGGTCCTACCGTGTTTAAGGTCTGCTTTGTGTTCACGAATGCGGTCCGAGACATGGCGTTTGGTTTCTCCAATGTAACTACTACCACAGAGGCAACTTAGTTTGTTTTATATATATTTTATATTATTTTATTGTTTCCCTTCAACGTGGTGACTTTACCGAAAGAACCAAGAATATGAATTACTGCAGTCACGAAAGCTTTAAATGGAAATGGTTATTATTACTACCACCACTACTACTACACGCTTTTTATTATTTAACTCACTCTGTCTGTTGTAGTTGTTGTTGTTTTAGTATCAGCAAATCTTGCGACTCAATTTTAAAACTCGGTATACTTACTCTTTGGTTCTATTGGGTAAAGTCACGTAGTAGGTAAAAAATAAAATAACAAAAATCACACGACGTTTCGGCCACAACACAAGCGGCCTTCATCAGGTGAAGGGACGAGACTGTCTGGAGGACAGCGCTGGAGTGGAAGACGGTCTCGTCCCCTTCACCTGATGAAGGCCGCTTGTGTTGTGGCCGAAACGTCGTGTGATTTTGTTGTTGTTGTTTCATTTTCACCTACGTGACTTTACCCAATAGAACCAAAGAGTATGATGGATCCTAGCAGTCACGAAAGCTTTCAATCTAGAATCGGCATACTTACGTCATACCCATAACAATACCGTATAAATTTTGATTTAAAGCTTTCGTGACTTGCAGTAATTCATATTCTTAGTTTTTTCGGTAAAGTCACGTTGAAGGGGAACAACAAAATAATAAAAAAATATATAAAACAGTATAATACCGTATACTATCATCAAAACGTTTTTTTTTAACGAAAAAATATATTTTTAAAACGTTATTTTTTCACGCTTCATGTTTCCGCTTGGCTCTTCTAATTGCCCACCGCTCAACACGCGCCGGCTGTAAATCACCGCCCAAATCTTGCAAGTCGTGCTAGCTCTGCCGTCGCTAGTGCTGGACGTTTCATCAAAGCGTGGTGGTGGTGGTGGGGAGCCTTTTTGTAATTAATAAAAATAAATCTTTTTTTAACGCCCAGGTGGT